CGCACATGTCCTGGGACACATTATTTCCAGAAAAGTGTCTCGTGTTCTTGCAAACGATGATGATGTTTTACGTGCTCAGGACCAGCTGGTTGGGGAAGCAGTAGCGTGCCATTTTGAAAAAGGTCAACAGGGACAAAATCCTCTTATTTATCTACAGTTGGCACTCTTCTTTGCTTAATGGCACAATTCATTATTTACACACCATTTATCCTTTATTATTCCCAATCATTTGCGAGAAGATAAAATGCTTTTAGTGTGTTGCTTTGCAAAGCAGTTAATTGCAACACAATGTCATTTATTTAAGACTTTTTTTTTCTTTCTCATTTGTCATTAAAATATTTGCTATCATCCAACCATTTTTTTGATTACTTTTATGCACTTGTGAGAATATTACAAAAACAAACATTAGCTACCATCAAATATACATTTTGTTTGCAGGGATTTGATTCTGAGTCTCGGATGTGATGTAAACTGATTGTGACTGTTTTTTGTTGTTGTTGTTGTTGTTGCTTCCATAGTGATTTGGTAAATGTCCTCTGCTTTTACATTTCCTGGGAAGGATTGGGTTAAACCATGGTAAATGGCCTGCATTTGTGTAGCGCTTTTCTAGTCCCTAAGGACCCCAAAGCACTTTACACAACCTGTCATCCACCCATTCACACACTGGTGATGGCAAGCTACATTGTAGCCACAGCCACCCTGGGGCGCACTGACAGAGGCGAGGCTGCTGGACACTGGCGCCACCGCGCCCTCTGACCACCACCAGTAGGCAACGGGTGAAGTGTCTTGCCCAAGGAGACAACGACTGAGACTGTCCAACCTGGGGCTCGAACTGGCAACCTTCCGATTACAAGGCGAACTGCCAACTCTTGAGCCACGATCGCCCCCATAAACCATCTACTGTGCTCTCCCGTCTCAAATTATTCAGTGCTCAACAGCGTGCTCATGCATGTCATGCAGTCATAGTGTTCTTCAGAGAAGTGACATTCCTCTTCTATTTAAAAAAAAAAAACACCAGACGCCTGTCCGTCTCTCTCCCTTTTCTTACCATGCATCCTCTCTTATCTGTAGCCACACTTATGAAATATGTATTTATTAAAGCACAGTGAAGCCTGCTGACTCCTTTTACTGATGGCTCGATCACACATCAAGCAGTTACTGAACCAGCTGTGTAAAAATAAGGCATTTTTGTCTCTGGTCTGAGAATTGGTGAGCTCAGCTTCAGTCGCTCACATGACTAAAGAAGTCATTTGGATGAGTGATGAAACGTTTCCCCTACTGAAAACGCAGATCCACTGATCCCTTGTCTTCACTACACTGTCTTCACTGCTTTACTACACATACATTCACACCTGTGGCTGTGGGAATAAACTTTTTTTTTCGTTCTGTGATGATGAATGGTCCATTAACAGTGCAAAATTTTAACATACCTTGTGAGTTTAAAAACACTGTGCAATGATAAACGGTGGCGACAAAAGTAGTCCTTCTCTGACTGTATGTTTGCAGTCTTATTCAACAGAAGGCAAACTACACTGTAAAATGATCATTTAGCTGAATCAACATTGCTTTCAATCGCAAAAGAAGCTGAACGTTACACACGAGCTTCACCAAATTGGTATTTTCAGTTTTATTATTCCCCTGTAGTTTATCTTCCCTGCTGTTACATGTATTCTCATAAGCACTGGTGACTCGAACAGCCAGAACATGCTAAACCACACTACAGCAAAAAACAAGGCTTCAGTGTTTATTAGGCAACAACAAAGAAGGATGTTTAGCAGGATGGGAAGATGAAAATGTGTTTTTCTCTTATCTGTTGAATAGCATAGGTAGGGGTGTTATTCTACACAGTAAATGGTTCTATCGACTGAAGGAAAAATCCAATATCCTAAAGGTCACAAATTTAACGCTTGTAAGGGACGAAAAGCAGTGAAGCAAGTCCCACTCTAACTACCTCTTTTAGCGTAGCTTTGGATGATTGAAGCAGACCTAATCTGCTCATTTTAGATTTTATGTTTTTATTCTTGGATTCGACATAATATACAGTTAAAAATAATAATAATTTGCCTCATAATCGGCCTCAGTGCAGTTCTTAAGTTCATTCATTGACTTAAATGAACAATTTGAATGCCTTTTCTCTCCCACTTTGAGCCAAGTTTCTCCTGATTGGCTGCCCCTCATAGACAGAAGGTTTAAATAGAAGGTGGATTCAGCTTTTCTGTTCACAGCCAGAACTACATGTCTGCGTTGACCCTATTAGGGATATTAGAGCATTCTGAAGTGTGAACCTTTGGCTCAAATTGATTTCTTTTTTATATACATTCCTCAAAAAGCAACAATCAAAGATAATATCATATACCAGCAGGTTACAGTGGAGAAGGTGAAATCATGAAAAGCTGAGGTGACAGTGGCTGTGACAGCAGGTGGAGAAAATGAATCAATGGTCTGAATTGATCTTGTTAACTTGAGGCAGTGGTGCGAGACCAATTGCATCACACAGCCCAAAGCTAGGTCAGACAGGAAGTAAGGGAGAGGGAAGAAGATAGAGGAAGGACTGTGGATGATGATGATGGTGATGATGAATGAGGTGAAAGTTTGACTTCATTGAATGTATTGTGAAATAAAAGTCTCAAGAAGCATATCATTGCCAAAGAAAGGAATCCCAGAAATGCGAAAGACCAAGAAAAATAACCACGCTGAATAAGTGTTTGATTCCCCAAACTGGGAGCAGGAGGGGTAAGCCGTATTTATAGATGCTGAGTCGATATCCTGTTTGTCTTGGCAGAGATCAGAGAGGCGTTTAAGGTGCTGGATCGTGATGGAAACGGGTTCATTTCCAAACAGGAGCTGGGCATGGCCATGCGGTCTCTGGGTTACATGCCCAGTGAGGTGGAGCTGGCCATTATCATGCAGAGACTAGACATGGATGGTGAGTCACATGTACACACACACACATGTAAAAATGCTCTGTGCAGTGCAGAATGGGATCTTCCCTCATGTGTTGCATAATAAAAATGTACACACCATCAGTTTTTATTGTCTTATCAACGGGTAACTTCACAAATATCTACGGTAAACTGCAATGTTTCTCTGTTCACTCTTTAGGCTTCAGATGCACTGATTACATCTCCCACCGTCTCATGCATAAAACATTTATTCATGCCTGCATGACTTTGTACTATTCTTGTTTTCAGCTACTTGCTTTATCCTCTTGACACATTGAATTATCAAAGTGAAATTGATGCCCAAGGAGAGCAAAGTAAATGAAGAAATTTGGAGATTAATCAAGAGTATGCATGCGTGAGATGGGCATAGTTTTTGTCGGTTAGGTGGGTTTTCACAATGGTTGCCCAGCAAGTACAGTTTGTATAATGTCATTGTAGTTCCTTCATAACTTGACAGTCTGGTGTGTGAAAATACATTTTTAAAAATGCATTATAACAACAACATGTATAAGATTCTTGCAACATAAAGAAATTAGCTGAGTTTTATTTCTGCAGCACTGTCCTCACCTGAGACATTTGAACTTTTTGTCCTCAGAGAGAACACTCTCAGCACCAAGAAAATACAAACTTAAGCTTTCTCTTCTTTTGCACAGAGCATTTCTGCCAATACGGTCGTCTGCGTTAACTGTGACTGACATTTAATAAAGGGTAGACTCTTAAAATTATATAAGACTGGGATAATGCAATATGCAAATGTCAGATTGCTGAAAAAATATTCACATTTTTCATGTTTCTATCAGAGGCTTTGATAAGTGCTTTTCAGTCTCAGAAAGAGTGGAATACTATAAATGTTCAAGGCTGAATATTAAAGTTTAAGAAGTTAGACTGCCTTTATGCTTCTGACTCATCCACCACAGAATCCCCGGAGACCCTAACTGCTGCTGTGCCTCAGGGCTGGATCTTGTTGCATCGTCTGCCGCAACCAGAAGTTGAGGTTACTTTTGTCACAGCAGCTTTTGTCACCAACGTCCAGAGCTGTTTGTTTATTTATTCCCTTTCTTGTCATTTATCTTAGTGTATTGAATCTGAGTTTGCTGTGGTTTCAAAAACCTCTTTTAATCAACTAGGTCAATTTGTTTGTATCGATAAATGTCTTTAGCAAAATACTGGGGATTTTCTTTATTTGGGCAGTATTGAATGCTGGAGCTGGCTGAATACAGAGTCAGGACAGTCTAATTTTGAAAATGAACATAGAATAAGGTAACTCGGATCAAAAAAGAGATGGCACTAATGCAGGAGGCCAGTAGGAGGTAGGTTGTGTTTCCAAATAGGCTTAAAACATGGAACTGTGGAGTACTGGGAGCTTAACTGGAAATGTTATGGGTATTGTCATCTGCCAACACACACATCAAATCCTGCATGAGCTAAATGACCTCAAAGAAACACACAGTGCACAAACAAATATAAGAAAAAAATTCAGCACATGTTGTTTGAAAGAAATGATTTTGCAATTCAGCAATTCTCTTCTCGTGTGTATGTCCAGCAATGTATTGATGAAGAGCGTCAAGGGGGCGCTGAATGAGGGAGAGTAAGGGTATTAGCAGATGAGTGGGAATGGATGATGGTGATTGTATCCTGGCCAGGTGGGCAGCTGTGAGGCTCTTTCACAGCCATTGATTCTTTGCCCAGCTGCCAACTCCAGCTGATCTCCAGAAGATACTGATCGGTTATGTGTTCTGCTTCTCTCTTCTGCTAAACCAATCCATGTGATAGTTGCTGAGCTCTGTTTGCCCTTCGTGCAGAGGTGTGACTCCTCTTCTTTGTTCCTAATCACAGCATTGCACCAGTCTTTGTTGTTCACTCAGATTACACTTGTTCTTTGTTGTACTGATAATGGTCATGTCTTCAATCTGTAAATTCTGAATACCAACATTTGCTTTTATTCCCTCCTGTCATTTGCCTGATTTGTTATCTTTACAGTGAGCAGGATTCTGCATATTTCTTTAATAATTCATTGTTCTGTTTCCAGCTGAAATGAAATGCTTGGTTGTGACATAACACAGGAAGAAACTGTTCAAAAGCAGGTGGCTTGGGCTATGACAGACACAGAAAGTGACTCAGTGACTTTGTGCATAATGTTCAGCTGTCAGAAACTGCGGATACATCAAAATGGGAGCTGAGATGCAACTGTGGTGTTTTAGGGAAGAGTGAATTACGCTGTACTGTGGTTTGTTTGTTTTTCTTTGAGGCTTTGTGCATGTTTGGTACAGCATCGAGGAATAATTTAAACAGTAGTAATTATCAAATTGGACAATCAACATGGCTTGTTGTCATTCAGTTTGCACACGAGTTTTTATCTGGTTTATCTTCTGTAATGGAAGTAAAAACTTTGGGTGCTACTAAAACAACTGAACTAATGAATGTGTTAATGCACGTTGTAGAAGTATTCATGCACACAGGCTTGGAATTACATAAACCGATACAACAATGTAGCAAGAAGCAAACTGAACACATTGTTTCCCAGAGGAGCTGCCTTCCTGACAGCACCACTGGGGAGAAACACCTTCTTAGAAGTGGAGGGAATAAAATGTGCAACACTGGGGTAAACTATTTAATGCTCGCTGTAGTAATATGCACATAAATCAGTGGATTTTGTGTGTATTGCTAAATCCTGAGATTGTTCATAGCTCCCCTTTCTCACACTGGAGATAATTTTTACTTTTTTTTTTTACTGTTTTCAATTTCTGCAGGTTCATGCTTTCTTTTGGTTTTCCGACATTAAAGCTCTATATTCTTTATAGTTTTCTTTAAGCGTGTTATTTTTGGCTTTTTCGTGTTTATGAGGTTTTTGTTGTCTGTACCTTTTTTAGTTCTTGTTGATACCTTTTGTGTTGCCATTGTGTTTCTTCAATTTTGTCTCCATTTTTGTCTTTTTGTGTCAAGTTAGTCTTGTTTTTCTGTTCTATTTGGTTGTTGTTGGGTTTTACTTCCTTTATCTTGTTTTCTATATTCGTTTTAGCTCTCCTCCCACCTTTTACCTTTCCCCTTGTTATCTGACATATGCACACAAATCAGGCATAACACTGTGACCACCTCCCTAATATTGTGCTGGTCACACTACACTAGACTCCTAAAGATGTGTTGTGTATCTGGCACCAAGATGCTGGCAATAGATCCTTTGAGTCCTGTAAGTTATGCGGCGGGGCTTGATCAAACTTGTTTGTCCAGTACATCCCACCGATGCATGATTGGATTGAGCCTGGGAAACTTTTGAGGCCAAGTCAACACCTGAAACTCACTTTTGTGCTCCTCAAACCATTTCTGAAGCACTTTTCCTTTGTGGCAGGGCACATCATCCTGCTGAAAGAGGCCATAGCCTTTAGGGCAGGGGTGGACAATTCCAGGCCTCGAGGGCCGGCATCCTGCAGGTTTTAGATCTCACCCTGGCTCAACACACCTGAATCAAATGATTAGTTCATTACCAGGCCTCTGGAGAACTGCAAGACATGTTGAGGAGGTAATTTAGCCATTTGAATCAGCTGTGTTGGATCAAGGACACATCTAAAACCTGCAGGACACTGGCCCTTGAGGCCTGGAGTTGCCCACCCCAACTTTAGGGAATACCGTTCCCATGAAAGGATGTACATCGCCTGCAACAATGATTAAGTAGGTGGTAGGTGTCAAAGTAACATTCATATTCAACATAAATGGCAGAAGCCAAAGTTTCCCAGCAGAACATTCCCCAAAGCAGCACACTGCCTCGGTTGGCTTGCCTTCCTCTTATAGTGCATTTTAGTAGCAGGTATTCCCCAGGTAAGTACCCGACCAGCCACATGATGTGAAAGAAAACACGATTCTTCGGACAAGGCAATCTTTTCCATTGCTCCATGGTCCAGTTCTGATCCTCACATGCCCATTGTTGGTGCTTTTGGCAGCTGACAGGGGTCAGCCTGCCTTCAGCTATGCAGTCTCATCCAAACTGTAATACATTGTGTATTCTGACACCTTCCTATCAGAACCAGCATTGACTTTTTCAACAATCTGAACAACGGTAACTCGTCCGTTAGATCGGACCACACAGGCCAGCCTTTGCTCCCCACATGCATCAGAGAGCCTTGGTTGCCCATGACCCTGTCTCTGGTTCCCCACTGTTCCTTCATTGGGCCACTTTTGATATATGCTGACCACTGCAAACTGGGAACACTCCACAAAAACTGCAGTTTTGGAGATGCTCTGATCCATTTGTCTAACATTCACAATTTGGCCTGTGTTTAGACTCACTCAGATTGCTTGCCTTTTTTCCCCCCCTGCTTCTAAGACATGAACTCTGAGGGCAAAACATTCACATGCTTCCTAATATAACCCACCTGTTAACAAGAGCCATGATAAAGAGACATATTTTGTTATTGTTTTAGTGGTCACAATGTTATGCCTGATCTGTGTATATATTATCTCCTATTGTCCTTTGTCATGTCATCCCTCTTTGCGGTTTGTTTCCTTGCCCTGTGTGTTGTGATTTTTGTACATTTTGGATTCCCTGCTCTGTGAATTGGATTACCTGTGAGTGATCAGCATTAAAGGTGGATTTTGAGTTTATTTTCTGTCTGCCAAGTTCTGCATTTGGGTCCACGATCTGCCTTCCATGCAGCAAATCCTTAAGAGTCACTTTAACTCACTTTTTAGTTGATGGGTTTCTGAGGAGCTGTCAAAAGAGAGCGGAAAGTTTTAAAAATGTTACATTTTTGGCATGACTGACAAATTGAGCAAACACAGAGAGGCAAAGATTTCAGTGACAAATTAATTTAAACCACATTTCTCAAAGATATCAGTCAAAAAAGAAAAGTTACCACCTATGTTCAGTAGTTTAGGCGTACTAGTTGAAAGTAGTAGGGGGAGGATTTTGGATTATTCCATAAGGTTTAATGTTTGTAGGTGTTATGGTTTGTGTGTTTAATAGTGTCTGTCCTACTTGGACCTCAAATAAAATTGACACAATCGTACGGGCATCTCAGGGCATCTCACATGGCCCCAAATGCCTTCAACAGCTAATTAACAGCTGACACAACCATTTAATGCAAGTTATTCCCCAGCTTACATTCTCCTTTTTCCTTTTTTATCACATTCTTTTACTATTTACAGCATTAAAAAGAAAATAACCTTCTAAAAAAAGAAAATAAAGGAAAACTTTTCTTTTAATTCTTTAAGCCCATCAGTTCGTTCCAGTAAATGCATACTGTCACTCCTGGGAAAGCAGGTGGCTGAGTGGAGTGCTATTTTAGTCATTACTTCAGAGCTACTTTAGAATTATTCATTCTGAAGCGGTTTCCTTCATGCCCCCGCTTTGTGAGGAGCTTCTTCATATTCCCTAGAGCAGAAAATATCCTAGGATTGCTGCAAACAGGTATTTAACTCACTGATCATTCGTTCATTCATTTATTTTTTTCTTGATTTCCACTCTGGACCTCCAGGGGGGCTGCAGCCTCTGCAGTGCAGAGTGCACCTTGTGTGGGAGGTGCATGTTACAATATGGCATATGGAGTATTATGATTCATCTTTGGTATTGGTGGTGGTGTCTTTTTTCCTGAGATGCTTTAGTCTTACCTAGTATAAAAACAATAGTGGCACTTTAAACAACTTCCCATAACATGTGTGTATACTAGTCTGTACCCAGTCCACCTTCACCTCTACTGTCATCCATCCATCTTCCAAGCTTGACATCCTCGAATCCTGATGTTGCTTCATCTGGCCTGTAGCCCTGCATTTGCCCTGCTGAATATGTATGGGCAGAAGTCAATGACATGTTACTGTGCCAAGCATCCTCCAGAGTGGGTGTCGCTATTGAAGGGAGTGGTAGGGGCAGATAGAGGTGTCCTGCATCAGTAACTTTCCACTGACAAGGCCCGATACTCATCTGCACATAAAGCAGGAGCAGGTGGGAAGAAGAGAGAAGAGCAATTAGTTTACAACAGTGACAGAGAAACACAGGACACAAAAAAGAAAAGAAAGACAAACTAGGTTTTGAAAGACCAAAGATGACAAAGAATTCAACGTGTTTTGTTGTTCAAAATCAACTTTCTCTTTATTTAGGTTTTATGTCATGCCTTTGTTCAATAGGACTGAATTCAGAGTGTGTCTGTGAGCAAATTTATTTGAAATCCGGAGACTGCAATTCTCTATGGGCTTTGGTGATTTTGTTTCCAACTCATCTCATTTTTCACAATTCCCATAACCTATAATGTGCAGCAACTATTGTCAGTGTAGGTTTGGGTCATTTAAACACTGAAACTATGAAACCGGGCAAACGCTACAGAGGGAAGATAATGAAACCCTGCTGGGGGTTTCATTATATAAGACAAAAAAGGCTATACATTTAAGGGCATTCAGCTGGATCAATATAAAACTCTGATCTGTTTGTTTGAATTGTTCCCGTCTTCAAAGTTTTGATGCTTTGTTCTGGCAGTAGCTGTAACAACTATCAGCAGGCATCTGAGATCAGTGCTGCTGGAATTGATGTTCACTGCAGGACTCCATGTTTTGAGTGATGAAGTAGCTGCAAACTTTGATCTGCTCCACAGTCTGCATTATAGATCTAGTCAGAACTCAGTTTTTTTTTTTAATGTCTCATCTCAATAGTAAATGTCATATTGAACTGTGTTATTTGAAGCATGCTGGCTCAAATAATATAGGGCGAAGACAGCGCAGCATCCAGAATTCTCTTTATGGTGGAACAACACTTTCTCCCACACATTGCAGAAACCTTTTGAATCCCCAGAGGCCTCAAGACTGTCTGTACATTCACTTTTTTTCCCCAAGAGGCCAGTCAAACTGGCCACATTCTTAATAATGTATAAATTAACTTTGTATTTAAACTGTAAAAACTTCCCCCTCCACATGCTTTTTAATGAAAAGGAAGTTGCTGCATAGATCAAAATTTATTTTTTCTACCAGGCTGTAAATATGTAAATATGTAAAAATTATGTATGTTTCTGTTCTGTGTCTTGTGTACTGTTAGTTTGTATATGTGTCTTCTTGCTGCTGTTACACCCAAATTTCCCCTTTTGGGACAATTAAAGGATTATTCTATTCTATTCTATTCTATTCTATTCTATTCTATTCTATTCTACTATATCTGCCACAAGTGGCCATTAGAGGAACTGCACTTGATTTTTCAGCTCCACAGGTTCCTGCTTACTAATAACTGCTTTCCTTTGTGCATCTGCAGCTCACAGAAGAAAAATAAATCACATTATAGGATAGAAAACAACTAACGATGATGGATTTTATTATTGGGAAAATTTTTAGATGTTTGTTAGATGACAAATGCCATGAGTGCTTCGTCATTGATCAACAATCTGTCCTCTCTTTCACCATCAGGGGACGGGCAGGTTGATTTTGAGGAGTTCATGACGATTCTTGGTCCCAAGCTCCTCTCATCTGAAACAAGAGAAGGCTTTCTGGGCAGCACAATCGATACCATCTTCTGGCAGGTAAATCTTGATTCTCTTTTACTTTTATTCTCTGTCACACATCTGTTTTGTTACCACTTCTGAGTCATGAAATGAACTGGATGTGATGATGAGACAGATGCTATGTGTCTGAGCTGAAATATAAATGCAGCATCATTCTTCTACATCTTTGTTTTAACTGAAAACCAAGGAGCAGGATTTTTAAATCTCTTTACAAAAAAAAGCTGCATGTTGGTCCAGGAATGCTGTCCTCAGTCTACTGTTCTCAGCCTCCTGTTATGTTGTGGGTCAGATTGACCCAGAACAGAAGAGATGTCACATGTCATCTGCATCACTAAAGGAAATGAAAAAAATCTAAATTATACAAGAAAATTGTAAAATAATCAATGCCAGGGTGTCTGACACTTTTGGATGAGTAAACATGCACTGGGTCAAGTTGACCCAGGAACATAATTGGTGTTCCTGGAAACCAACATAACAGGAGGGTTAAAAAGTGTGGTCGAGTTTGTCTGGTTTCCTCTAGATCTCTCACATTACATTACATGATTGGTCACTGCATCATTACGGTGCAAATGATGACCAACTGAAAAGGTACATTTTAATTTTAGTATTAAAGAATTAAAAAATAACAAAACACCAATGCCAAATTAACCTAATTACACTAATTAACTGTACTATGAAAGCAAAATAGAGCTCATATATATTCTACATCTTTAATGAAGCTGTGCAGAGTTTTAATTAGTTTTGCTCTTACGCAATCAACTCTGTGAATATATTTTAGATTTTATGTTCCCGAAAAATAATATTTGTGTTAAAGTGACGACATCCTGGAGCAGCTAAAGTGTGACGTGTCTTCTGTGCACTAATGGATTCTGCAGTGAAATACAGTCTTCTGAATTTAACTCCATTTCCAGATTTTTTCAATCCTTTTTTGAAGGGCAGCGCAAATATATATATATATTATATATACTGATCTCCGTTGAGTTGTACTGTGACCGACTCACAGCAGAAAGGGGTTTCAGAATCTGAGAACAGTAGTAAAAAATGTCTGAGTAAAATAGTTTTGCTTTGAGTGAGCTTGAGTGTTTAACACACACAGACACACAATAGAATGGAGGACAGAGCCTGAATGGGCATGTAGACAAATCTGGTATGTGTGAGAGAAAGAGCAGAGCATTTGGCACTGATAGTAACACTTGGCAAGCCTGCCCCCCTGATGTAATCATCAGCTTGACCCAGGCTTTTTCTCAGGGGAATGAGCTTGTGGTTTACACCGTGAGGACACAAGTCTTTAGAGGTATGAGTGCAGGACGGCAAATGTACTGCCAGCCACATTTGGCCGATGCAGTGACCTTGGCTTGTAAAGAAGAGCGGTTGGCTTGAAACAGTTTGTTTCATTTTTTTAAATTTTTTTCAACCCCTCAAGTAAAACTGGTTGTGGTTTACGGTTTGTTACTCCTGCACTAATAAATCCACATTTCAAGTCAAGACGAATGCCCAGACGTAGAAATCAAACACCTCATCAAATGTGTGGAGCACATTCAGAGGGAAAATGCACTGCAGACCATCTTTTATCATAATTATTTCTTCACTCACCTCACAGATGATTACTTGCTTGAGACATTACAATTTTGTGCCTAGTTTATTTTATTGTTAATAGTGTATAACTGAGCCTTATTCAAAGAATTTGCTTCAGTGTTCCTCTTTGAATACATAAGTGTTTTTTTCCTAATTATTAGAATATTGGAGTAGATGTTGAATTTTTACCTTGCATCCTAGTACCAGGGTGTTAAAAGTGATTTTTATGAAATATCTCAATAAATGTTGCATCCACTCTGCAGACAGTAACATGCAGTGTTTTGTGTTTGGTGGGACAATTGAAAAATGAAAATGATCTTAGCAATGCAAGTATGCATGGAGAAAAATAACACTATCGGCTCAAAAGCCTTCCCATCAGTTCAGCAGACGCTGAATAAACCATCAGCTGAGACAACTCATGCTGCTGGCTCATTATGTCCCACTCATTAAGATTCAGAATCAGCACTTCAAATCAACAGCTCTTACATGCTTAGAAAAATGCAATTCCTTTGTGGTCGTAAACAACAGGATAAAAAATTTTTTCCCTTTCTTTTAAAAAAAAGAGAGAGAGAGAGAGACAGGGAGACAGTAGAAATGTTTTTTTCCTTCTTGCTGACAATGATGCTTAATGCATTATAGTTTTACTCGCTGAAGATGCACAATTCATTGCCATTAACAGGAAAGAAACATAATGACTATGTGAAATGTGAAAGATGTGGTAGAGATGAACCAAGAGCACATTATGAGTGTTTGTTGGTTTTTACTGCAGTAAAAGTAGGCTGTTGAAGAAAATAACATCTGTTGTTTCAGCCCAACCATATTTCAATAGAAGTTGTTGGAGACAAAACAAATGCTAAGGAGAGTTGGTGTCAGATATAAACTGTAATCTTTAGTTCCAAATTAATGCTAGCTGTGATTTGCATCGAGCGCAATGTGCAAATTGTCAGAGAATGCAAAGTTTTTAGCCATAATAAGCTTTTTAGTCGAATTCCATCCATTTTTTTTACCTAACTAGAATTGCAAGATGTTGGAGTCAGTCCTAGCTGGGCGACGAGCAGGGTACAGCCTGAACATGTGTAATACAAAGACGCTGACAGCTGTTCACACCAACAGCTAATTTAGAATCAACCTAATATGTTTTCAGACACGTGAGAACATGCAAACTCTACACAGCGGACCAAGAGGTACAAACCCATGGTATAAAATGGCATTGCTAACCATTTCATTATGGTGCCAAGGTAAAGACCTTAAAATATTATGCAGCACAACCCAGACATTCCTTTTGAAGAAGCACTTGACAACAGAGCCAAAAAAAAAATGTTTTAGAGAGACGTAAACTCTGGCAGAACCAGACTGAGGGAAGATGGTTAAGCTCTACAAAAACTAGAATGATAGGGAAGTCAAGAGAGGAGAGCAAAGACTAAAAAAAGAAGTAATAATAAAACAAATAAATGATATAGTAAGTCAGTCAGCTAATATGTAATTTTTATTTTCCCCATAATGGTAACTTAGAGAAACTGGCACAAGTATAGTTCAGGAAACAACAAAGTAAATATAATACTCCACTACATTAGGAAACGGTATACTGTATGTGCAAAGTTGGGCTTCAATAATGACATTCATAATTCTCATCATGACGTAAAACATTTTAAATTTTCAGTAGCTTTTAAAACCGTTGAATATATAACAGTTAAGAATAATTTCAATGATATAGACTCACAGCTGCAGATTTGTCAGTTTTATATCCATGAGGCGGATTCCCCAAAGCTCTGTTGAATGGAGATCTGTAGTGGTCATCTAAGTACATGGAGCTCATGCAGAAGAAACCAGTAGGAGGTGATTCGAGCTTTGTGACATGGTCCGCTAGTTTGCTAGAAGCAGTGATCAGATTGGTACACTGTGGTCACAAAGGGATAGTTAGGTTTCACCATTTAAACGATGCTTACATGGTACCAAGGGGCCTAAAGTGCCAAGAAAATACCCCCCACACCAGTAGACCATCAACAGGATGAACCGCTAATAATAGACAGGATGGAGCCATGCATTCATGTTGCTCATACTCAATTCTGAGGCTATCCTCTTAATGTTGCAGAATAGCTCGAGACCCATCAGACCAGAGACCGTTTAAGCCCATCTGCTTGAGGGTTCAACATGTTGTGTGTTTAGAGACTTACCGTGGTTGTAATAAATGGTTATTTAAGTTGCTGTTGCCTTCCTATCATCTCAAAGCATTTTCACCCAGAGAACTGCCACTGTCTGGATAATTCCTTTACCTCATTCACTATAAACTCTGCACATGGTTGTGCAGGAAAATGCCAACAGATCAGGAGCTTCTGAAATAATCAGGCCAGCCTGTCTGTCAACAACAAGGATGTTATGCTTACCTTTCTTACCATTCTGATGTTCCGTTTTACATACTTGCACTGACCATGTCTACATGCCTAAATGAACTGAGTTGCTATCCTGTGATTGGCTCCTTAGACATTTCCAGAGAGTTAAGAGCCGTTGAAGAGAGGTACATAACAAAGGGGCTGGTGAGTGTAAGTTCAGGTATAACAGTGATGTCTGCAACTGAATAGAAATCTTTAAAATCTTTAGAATATAGTATGTAGTCCCATGGACTGGATCTGAGGAGTCAAGAAATTTGTTCTGCCTTTACAACCAAATAAAGCAGTCTCTGGCTGTATAGTATATGCTTACTATATGTTTCCCAGAACCTTTCCCAGACATGCTTTATATAACTTTTTATAATTATGCTTATAATTATTAGAATTAACATCCTTCAAATCTTGAACTTTACATTGATTTGGCACATCTTAATAATTTGCTTTGATGGAAGCAATATATTCAATAATCATGACAAGGAAACAACGTGCACAATACTGATAATATTTTCGCTGTAGGCATTTTGTGCAACACTTAAAAAAATTCAGTTTTCAAAGCATTTTACGGAGTACACTTTCCTTCTTTGCCAGCATTTGTTTTCTGTGCTCGTCCATCAGAGCAGAGCGGGATTCGTTCAGCAGGAGTGTGACACAAGCACACCCTGCACTCAAATGAACCTTATATTTAGTTGTGGTTCAGTCCTTTTGAACCCTGAGAGTAGCTCTGTTCTTGACTTGGAAGAGAGATTTTTTCATTCCAGCGATATCAAGCAAAGTGTCACATCCTCACCAGCTGGGGTGATGGGATAATGATTCACTCGCTGTCACACACTCACTTTCCTACTCACCCGTATCTGCTCCTGAACAGTTTGTTAATGTATCTAATTATCCCATTGGATAATTATGAGCTTGTATTTTAACAACTGCAAACATTAAAGTTGTTTTTTTAAGTCAGCAGCAGCAGCAGCCTGATTAACAAGACAAACGAATAGTAAACAAAACAATGAACATTCGAAAAATCGTTTTTCAATGCCTGCTTGATTGAGATCAACATTATTT